CTTGGATGCAATCCACGCTTTGACGTCAGCGACAAGATCGTCCAAATCATCGTAGACTTTGCCCGTCTGCCAATTTTTGAGCGAACGATTGACGTGATAGTCTGTAGGAGCTTCAGTGGGAGAATACGGTGGGTGCTCAAGCAATTCCCATCCTTTGTCGCTGACGTCAAAGCGTGGATTGCATCCAAGGATCGTCACTTTTTTGCACGTGGAATCGATCGTTTGCCAAGCAAATGGGAAGCAGTTATTGAAGTAGATGGCGATTATGCTCTAGAATGATCATTTTAACATGTTTTGAGTGTACTTTGGTATTGTATTGTTGAATAACTTTAGAATCAATGAAAACGGTCGTTAATTTTGCATCAACCCAATATATATATTCCAATCTTAAGGCCCAGCCCCCACCCAAAAAAGTTGATTTTTGTCAAATTTATCGATTTCTTTTTAAATAGTGCATGTGATAGAGCATCATGTTCGCTATCGAATGCACTATAGTTTATTTTGTTTACGATGGATTTTAAGGGTTTTACAGAGGTTTTTCTGAAAACCTCTATTCAAGAAAAACGACGTCTTTCGAATAATTCAATGTTTTTGCGCATTTCAATTTGTAACCGTAAAATATATTTCTTTCTATTGTACAGAATGTTATCTTGACTTTGATTCTGTCACGTCGCGAGATATATATTTATTTTTCTTTTACGTTCGTTCTCTATGCTTCCATCGTGTTTCCTTTGATCTAAAAACAGAATTCGAAGTATACGAAAGAAAGAGGTAATACGAATCTTTTAAACAAATGAGCAAAGAAAATATTCGTCAGAAAAAGAAAAGCAGAAGGTCCGTTATGAGGCAAATCCGATCACAGCAGGTGAAAAACAAGAGAATGGATTCATCATCATCATCATCGGTAAACATAGATGACGTGGATGACTTATTGGATATTGATTTAATTATTCACATGAAATCTTTGATTTCATTGTTGAAACAAACTTTATGTTCTGAATGTAATCATTTATGGGATGGTTCACCATCTATCAAAACAAGAAATGGATTATATATGCATGTAGAATTTATATGCTCTAATTGTGGATGTAGAGTGTGGGTGTGGACGTGGGTTTGGATGTGAGACAGGAGAAGATCCACACCCACACCCACACCCACCCACACCCTCATTTAGATGAACCTGCTAATAAATTTTTGTCGTAATATCTTCAGCCATAATGAGTTCAAATTGTCTTTTATTAGTTAAGATGACAGAAAAACACTATTACTGGATGAAAAGTCATAAACTACACTTCTAAAAAGTATTTTGCGCTTTTCTCAAAATGAGATTTTTTGTTTTTACGTTTCCGTGCGTCTCAGATTTCTCCGCCATTTTGAAAGCTAGAAAGCTCGGGTTTGTTTTAAATCATAGCTAAGGTCTGACACTGCAACTTAACAGAGTCGGATTTCTCGATTTCATGATTGATGTCAGATGAGGAGAAAATATTTGAGAACTTACATCCTACTAATTTCATATCATGACGTAGAAGTTCTTTAAAGACCAAACTACAGAAAAATTAAAAAATCGGACTTTGTTAAGTTGTAGCCCCAAGTCTTGGCTACATTTTAAAACCAGCTCGGGTTTCCTAACATTTAAAATGGCGGAGAAAACTGGGACGCACGAAGACCTATGTTTTGAACATTAATCTTAAGCTACGTCTTGAAAGGCTCAAGATTTCAAGCTGAAATTTTTACCACGCGGTGCCCAGCCCAAGATACATCTACTCTGAAAGTTTCGTTAAGATTGGATGTTCTAAGGCAAAAATAAAATTTTGGGTGGGGCTGGGCCTTAGATAGGGTATGTTGTTTCTTTTTTTTTGTCTTAAAAAGAGGAATAATGAAAAGTATTGAGTTTAGTTTTTTTTTTCCTATTGGGATAAAAAATTTATAAATAAGTTGAAAAGTTCTATTGGCCACTAGACTTTTCAAGTTATTTTTTCGATAAGTTAGATATAATCTATTTCAGATGGAATAATGTTTTTTTTTCTCTTTTTTCTTTCATCCTTATGTTATTATGTAGAGAGGGATAGATACTATTTTATATCACAGCCTGTTAGGTGGCTTCGTAACCTAACCCAAGGAGATTTCTTGTGCCTGTTATGGCGAAAGCAGTGTAGTACTCGGGAAGGCCGTGTGTGCGTAGGTCCCTGTCGCCGTTTACGTACGTCATACCTATGATCATGCCCTACCAGTCCGGCGTGGTCCGCTCTGCGTGTACCCATATCGGGCTTACAGGGAGTCTTCCTGGTCGCGTGCGCGCGCATACGCGAGAATGAGCCGAGAAAAGCCGGAAAAGCGAAATGAATTGTAGTTCAAATAAATTTATTAAGCAAATCGAAAAAAAAAACAAATTACATTTTCTTTTGAATTTTTTCAAATGTTTCTTTATATTCCAAAATATGAGGATGATTTGAAGGTAATTTTTCTTGAGCAATTTCTACGGCTTGTTGAACATTTTTCATTGCCATATTATATTGTCGAGTAGATAAATATAATTTCGCCAAATTGTGATATACAACAGCTAAATCAGGATGATTTTTCGGTAGTTTATTTTCACGTATTTCTAATCCTTTTTCATAATATGTCAATGCTGTTGTATAATCTTTCATTTGACGATATGTTTCACCTAAATTTATATATGTCGTTGCACAATCTGTAGGATTACATTGAACATTTTCTTGAATATTTAATGCTTTTCGATGAAATGAAATTGCCTTCTCATAATCACCCATTAAACGATGAACATCACCAATATTACTGTATGATATACCAAAATATGGATGATTCTCAGGTAGTGTTTTTTTATCTATTGCGAGCCACTTTTCAAAATACTCAAGTGCCTTTGAATATTCGTTCATACTGCGATAAACTCTTCCTAACCTACTGTATGTAAGAGAAAAAGCTGGATTACCTTCTTCAAAAGCTTTTTGCTGAATTTGATAAGCATTTTTAAGGGCTTCAAGAGCTGTTGTGTAATCACCCAATTTTTCGTAACATGCTGCAAAATTCAAATGACTTACAGCCAATGAGGGATGATTCGAAGGCAGAGCTTTTTCGTAGATTTGATGTGATTTTTCGTAAAATTCAAGTGCTTTTGAGTAGTCACCCATGTTAATATACACTTGACCAATGTTGCCGTAGAACTTAGCCAAATTGGGATGATTTGAATGCAGACCATGTTCGTAGATTTTACGTGATTTTTCGTAAAATTCAAGTGCTTTCGAGTAGTCACCCATGTTTTTATACACTCCACCGATGTTGCTGTACGAAGTAGCCAAATCAGGATGATTCGAAGGCAGAGCTTTTTCTCTTATTTTTTGTGATTTTTCGTAAAATTCAAGTGCTTTCGAGTAGTCACCCATGTTATTATACACTTGACCGATGTTGTTGTAGGAAGTAGCCAAATCTGGATGATTCGAAGGCAGAGCTTTTTCTCTTATTTTAAGTGATTTTTCGTAAAATTTAAGTGCTTTCGAGTAGTCACCCATGTTATTATACATTTGACCGATGCTTCTGTACGAAGTAGCCAAATCCGGAT